AGGCAACTAAAACAACATAATTTTGGCGACAAACAATACGGTGTAAATACTCAGGCTTGGCTCCTTCTAAAGTATTCGAATTCGGTGGGAGGATACAATTTTAATTATTTATCTAGATGTGTTTATTATTTACCTAGAAATTGGAACGCTACTTCTTAATGGAGCATTGTGGCCAATAATGGTTAATTTTCCGAATAGTAGTGAAAAAAGAATTAAGTTCAAACTGAAGGCGTTGTTCATAAGAGAGTAAAAAGTAACACTGGTCACTGTACTTCACAATCTTATAAATATATGAATACAGTGAAAGGAAGATGGGTATACGAGTAGAAAATGACGCCGTGATGTTTATATTATCTGAATCGATATCACACCGGTAGGATATTTTAAGAAGGATAGCGTGTTTCCCAAGTGGTTACGACGATCCAGATTCCCATACGTGTACGCATATATACGTATGTGTTACCGATATGCCAATATCCATCCGCATCCTGCGTCGAGCCCATATTCCGAATTGGAAAAGGACATTCGGGGTATTGATATTACACTCCGAGGGTTGCTGGTACTGTTTTACTATATGATTCCGGTCATTTGTTTGTTGTCGAGCCTACCGAAATCGATTGGGGGTTGGTCAACGCGCTCTGAAGATGTATTTGTGACTCAAAAACGATGCATCCGATCATTAACAGGCATCTCACCAACAGATAGTTGCAAAAAATATTTTATAAGTTTCAACATTTTAACTGTCCCTTCATTGTATATATGAATTGTGCTTACATGTTTTTAAAAATAATGAAAAATTCAAGCGGAATTGTGATATGCATAATTATGATACAAGGACTTGTAATAATTTATATGTAAACTTTAGCAAATCAAAAGCGGCATTTCGATCACCTAATTAAATTGGTCCGCTTCTTTTTAATAATTTACCATGCCACATTACCTCGGTTAAAAATAATAACGACTTCAAGTTCCTGTTGAAGCAATTTTTGATAAACAAGTGCTTTTATCGTGCTTTTTTAACATTGCAATTTGAGATTAGTTGTAGGTTTGTAGCGAACGAAAAATTGACAATTCCAATACAATTATATATTGTCTGTATGGAAATAAAGGTTATTGATTGATTGATATTATTGATTGATTGATTATTATGATAACACAGTGCAGGGCATATATTTAGTTAAAACACTACACAACTTTAGAATACATCTTATTGTGATTATGCCTTAGAGCCGATTACATTGCCACTGCCGAAAAAGTATTGTAATCGCGAAATTTTTCGAAAATAAAATACACATATTATGTAACTTATTTCCCTCAGACTGCCTGTCTGTCGGTCTGTCCGCTAATCTACAGGGTGGCCCATCCATGTGTGGACGGAATATTACTGATAAACAAATACATTTTGGGAAAATTTATTTATGGCTTGTTATACACACCTCAGCCTTTATCTTATCTATTACTTTCTCGTATTTTAATTTTTGCTCATATTGTACTTTTTCTCAAACATTTCCAATTTATCACTCTGTATATTTGTGCAAGTTTGGATTCAATTTTTTTATAAGCTTTTTTATTGGTATAAAGTTTGATCCATAAAATCACTAGATTTTGAGTTATTAAGCTTTTAATAGAACAGCACATCAAAATTAAGGAAAAAAGATCACATCATCCATGGACACAAGGGACTAGTTCCATGTTGCCACTAGGACTACAGATTTGACGTAAAAACTAATAACAATCAGAACAGTATAAATCAGCTTCAAGCGTAATAGAGAAAAACAAATATAACAACAACATAAACAAAATCCTATCACTACTCAAGACCTAATCTACAAAAACTGCTCGAAAATATCTCCACCATGTTGAATACACTGCCGTGGTCTTTAGACAAATGACCGTTGCACATCCCTTGTGTTCAGAAAAGCATCCTTAATCCTTTCCTTCATATTTTCAGGGGTATATGGTGGATATTTATAAACCTCTTGCTTAACGTAGCCCTATAGAAAGAAGTCCATCGGTGTCATATCTGGTGATCTAGGAGGCCATGTTGAAAGTACATATGCATCTGAGTTTGCAGGTCGACATCCCTCCAAAAGCAAAGGCAAATGCTCGATCAAAAAATTCTGTACCTGTTAATCTGTTGTCGAAAAAGAAAGGAACGATAACTCGTCTGCCAATAACTCCTCCCCAAACATTCAAGCTCCATTTATTTTGGAAATCTATTTGCCTAACCCAGTAATTTGTTTATGAGTAATATTCCGTCCACACATGGATGGGCCACCCTGTATACCAGCCTATTACTTGAGAAGTCCTACCGCTCAAAAATACAGGCGCCTTCTTTCAAACTGAAGCCAACTTATTCTAGTAGTATGTCAACTTCTCCATCAAAGAACATAGTGGTCTACACATTTTGATACTTATATGTACACAAAACACATTGCGCGCCAAGCGTCAAATTAATAGATAAATGATAACCAAAGGTAGTAATGAGGCTTCAGATCAATAAAGCCGCATCCGTTGATATTATCCATCAGTTGTGCTTCCACAGCTGGAATATGCTAAATTATGTTAAACAATTAACGTCTTTTATTTGTAATATTCTTACAGGAGGCGAGATTTAGATAATACATTATTCTACCATGTAACCTCCTTAACAATACGAGATGTAAAAAAAGAACAGAATTTGTTGAACATTAATACCTGTATACAATAACGACAGAATAAAGTTTAATCTAAGTAAAGGCATAAGGAAAATATGAGGACACCTATGGGTTAAAACAGATTTCGCTGCTGATCAAGGAGAACTTCTTTCACTTTTTTCTTGAATTTGGGTAATGGATTGGTTTCTTTTAAACTGCGGACTAAAGAGTTATATGATTTGATCGCATTGTAAATATATGTATTTTGAAATAGAGAAAAACTCTCTCTATATCTAATATTAATACCTTGCATATTCCCTCTACGTGAATTTGTTTACTAAATATGACGGTGTTTTTGAATAAAGAACCTTATGAGTCAGATTTAGGAGCTGGTACTTATACATTTTATCAATTTTCATCCATTTGAGTTCATTTCTGAGACCATTTCCAAGTCTGCAACATGTATTCATAATACTTTGAATACGATTTCTTGTTATAATATCTAAATAGGGATAGTAAACCACTAACCAATACGATATCTTTGAAAACAAGAAAGATTCACATAATTGCTTTCTCGCAGATTTATGTAATATAGCTTTATTTGCAAATAAAACTCTGAGAATAGCGTAGTACTGAGAAATTAGATAGTTTACGTGTACAACAGATTTTATGTCAACATCCATTATAATACCTAGGTTCTTCGAATGATCTGCAGGAACTAATTTATTATCTTTTAAATGTATGTCTATGTCCTTTTTTATAGTATTATTTTTTGTTCTATTTGAGTATACCAACATATTTGTCTTCAAAGGGTTCAAACGAAGATTATGACTACTACTGAACTTTTCAATTTGGGCAAGATCTTGATTAATTTTATTATTTGCTGTTTCCAAGTCATTACTCCTGAATGAACAGAAAATTTTGTTCGGTAGAGTATGCGTACTGTTGATTTAGACGAACTTTTTGATACCGATTTTCACGGTAGGTTTGATTAAACGAAAGAGGTTTTTCAGAAAATCCATAATAACTGCATTTAGACACAAGTATGAGAGCTTCTTGCCGAAGCTGAATTATGGTAGATCACATAGTGGAGCCATCTGTTTCACCCTAATCTCGAATGGTGTGGTGAAGGTGATGGTCGCATTACGTTCTGTGTGGAGTATAAAGAAAGTTGAATAACGTATCCTTACCTTCCTCGTATCCTATTTCTTTTGTTCATAAATTAATAAATTCAGCATCTTCACAACAAAGAGACCTCAAAAAACGACCCTTAGTTTTCTATTATGTAAGCATTCCTCGGACAATGCCGATAAAGATGTCCACTTCAGAATTGAGCTTTATCAACTTTGTGGAATAATTTGATCTCTACAGATCTAGATACAATAGCAATATTTCTAGGGCAATATCTACCACCAGAAATAACATGGAGCGCTTCTTTATAATAATGGATGTCAAACGCCTCTTCATAAAAATGTTCTTGAGAAGAACTAGTTATTTAACCCTTGCATCTTTTCTTTCCATGCCAACTGACGAGGAGATATTGTAAATGTCCAAAATTAAGGAAAGCATTCATCAATGTAGTCTTCAAATAAAAACTGTACCGAAAGTTCGCCTTGAATTAGGAGATCAACGCGCCTTCCTAATTTTGCGGTGTATTAAATTTCAATGAGCTTTAGATTTATCTCCTAGTAGTTATAAATCGTCAGCTATTTTCCCTTACATGGTTGCCATAATTTGGTTCCCTATTAAAACAACAAATTCAGCAGAATTTACGGGAAGCTCATTAAGTAAGGTATATTTTTGGTGGATTAGTTACACCAGCAGAATCCAGACTAGACTAGAGAGTCGTATATTAACTATACGTGGAAACTTCATGAGCTCTGCATACCAAATTGTGACTGTAGTAATTAAAGGGAAAGGATAAAGGATGGTTTAATTAAATGAATGCTAGGTTTATATCTGTTTCTAAAAGTAATATTGTTGGTAGTAAAGTCTGGAATAGGAATCGTAAGGGACAACAGTATCTTGTCGCACTATAAGTACCTTCATCACTATCTTTTGAATGCAATATCCGAATTTACTTTATGCGACGTCAAAACTGAAGACTAGACGGCTTTAATTTGTATCCATACGTATGTTTCCATGCCTTAACCGGTAACATTAAGAGCCGCTTCTGTGGAATTAAAGGAATACGAGGGATGTCTTTTAAGTTTTGCATATAGAAACATAGTAGGCCGCACGGATCGAACGTCAATACTGAATCTTAACCTCACTCTTTAATAAACTTAAATTCTAAGTTTTACAACAATACCTGCAGTGTTCACACTACAGTGAATTTTTAAGTGTCACCAAGTCATTAGAAAAATGGAACTCAACCGAGAACATTTTCGCGCCATGATTTATTACAACTTTCAGAGACAATTATCGCAACAAGAATGCCTTGCTGAGTTACTGTCTGTTTTCGGCAACGAAGCGCCACATCAGTCGACAATTTCCCGTTGGTATGGAGAATTGAAACGTCTTAGTGACGATCCCAGGGTGGGTGCTCCAAAAATGGCAGTCACCCAGGAAAACGTCGATGCTGTGCGCACACTCATCATTGACGATAGACATGTGACATATCGCGAGACTGAGGCGCCCCTGAAGATCTCAAAGACCTCAATTCAAAAAATTTTACATGAAGAATTAGGAGTAAGAAAATTAGTTTCTCGTTGGATATCCCACCTGTTGGCTCAAGAGCAGAAAGCAGCTAGGGTTAATTGGTCTCAAAAAACGCTTGACCTTTTCAATTCCGGTAACTCAAAAAATGTGTACAGCATTGCTATGGGTGATGAATCGTGGATTTACTGTTATGAACCAGAAAATAAACGACAGTCGGCTGTTTGGGTGTTCCAAGGTGAAGAAAAGTGTTTAGAAAAACATGGTGGCGACATTTGTGTCAAAAGCGGGTCATATTGCAACAATTTTTCTTAATGAGCAAAGAACTGTTACTTCGGGTTGGTATACCACCATTTGTTTGCCAAAAGTCATCACCGAGCTTCGAAAAATCAACCCCGAAAGAAGAATCATCCTCCACCAAGACAATGCAATCGCGCACACAGCCCAAAAAACAAGGCAGTATTTAACGGAAGAAAACGTGAAATTATTGGATCATCCTCCATATAGTCCCGATCTAAGTCTTAACGATTTCTTTACTTTCCCGAAAATTAAAAACATACTGCGTGGTCGAAGGTTCCAGTCACCAGAAGAAGCAGTTGACGCACTCGAAAATGCCGTTTTGGATCTGCCAGCAAACGAGTTTAATAAGTGCTTCGAAAATTGGTTCGAGCGCATGCAGATGTGTATTAATATTCGTGGAGAATACTTCGAAAAACAATAAAGTCATTTAAAACTACCTACCGAGTTGTTTTATTTCCATATCCAAAACTTAAAAGTCATCCCTCGTATAGCTTTTTACACATTTGTATGTATTGTATCTATCAAATCTTCTAACGCAAGAAAAACTTTAAAATTACGCATTTTTTCATAGCAAAAGGTTTCTACAAGAGATAGAGGAGATCAAAGTAGTACCTCACCAGGTTTGAGCAGTGGGCCATTATTAGGCGAGCACTTTTATGTTTTGATGTGCGAAAGGGATAAGTATATTATTCGATTTTACATCAGAATCATGACTTTTATAACTCGTTTTACGAATACTTAAAAATATATAGTTACAAGGTGATAAACCGACCATCTCAAATTAATCAGTGCAACAGACACCAGATTTGGTTTGGAATTGCCCATAAAAGGGGAATAACGTAGAAATATTTTCTTTTTGTTAACGTTAAAAGCCGTTTCCAAACTTAATGTTGATTATTTAGGTACTAGCGTAATGATATTAGCAAATTTTCCCGAAATTATTGCAAAGTGGTTTTATTGATGCAAGTTGTTCAAGGGGGTATTTAAAATATGGACGCATAGTGGGTACACCAATTTTTATGACTAACCTGAAAAAACATATTCACTACTTGTCATTCGACATCAAAAAATCTTTTTGTTTTTTTGCAATCGCAATGCTTCCCCGTTCATTGGAATGAGAAGGGAAATGAGCTACAAAATTCTAATCACTGATCAACAGCCAAAAAATATCCTAAATAAAATCAACAAAATATTACTATTTTTAATGTGCTAAAACCGCAATGAAACTTATTTTTTCAATATTAGTTCAAGTTTTAGAGATACGGTAATTATATGTGTTCCTGCTGTGACAGTGTTAATATACTGTAATTCACAAGAATGCACGTGCTGCATTTTTATATTCGGCAAGGAAAGATGATATAATCGGCATGATTGTGTTACGTTATACATACGTGTACATTATATTGTTTTATATTAGCCATTTTTTCCTCAGTTGGCTGACAGCGTTCATGCAAGATGTCTCGAAAGTGTTTAAACAATCCAGATCAGTTTTGTTACGTGTGTGGTGATGTGACTTTTGCGTCTCAGAGACGGTCTATTACTCCACTAATAACAAAGGCATATCAGCTTTATTTCGGTTGTAAACTAGGTGATCAAGACAAACAGTGGGCACCCCACATCTGCTGTAATACATGTGCTTCAAGTCTGAGGAGCTGGTTAAATGGCAAAAAACGGTCTATGCGCTTTGCTGTCCCAATGGTTTGGAGAGTCTACAAATCATATTCATGATTGTTACTTTTGCATGGTACCTTGTGTTGGACAAGCCACAGGTATATCCAAGAAAAAAATCGGTTATTAACTACCCAAACATACCATCTGCGATGAGACCTGTGCCTCACAGTGACGAAAATCCTATTCCAAAACCCCCAGAATCCCACACTTGCGAATCAGAAAACGAATCAGATCATGGCGATCGAGTGATTCGTCAGGAAGAAGATATGCCATCAACGTCAAGAGATCCTGATTTTATACCGAGCACGTCATGCCACCAACCGCACAAAATAACACAGTCAGAATTAAATGATCTTGTAAGAGATTTAGAACTTCCAAAATGTAAGGCAGAGTTACTTGGATCAAGACTGCAGCAGTGGAACTTGTTAGAAGACGATGTTTCGGTATGTACTTTTCGTAAACGCCACAAAGACTTAGAACCATTTTTCAATATGGAGAATAACTTGGTTTTCTGCAGTAACATTAACGGCTTACTGGCGGCTTTAAATATAAACTATAACCCAGAAGAATGGAGATTGTTTATAGACAGTTCAACATTGAGTTTAAAGGCAGTGTTATTGCATATTGGAAATATTTTACCATCTCTTCCTGTAGGGTATGCAGTTCACATGAAAGAATCATATGACAATATGAAGTACCTATTGACATGCATAAAATACGATGAGCACCACTGGCTTTGTGGCGATTTGAAAGTTGTTGCACTTTTAATTGGGCTGCAGCTAGGCTACACAAAGTTTTGCTGTTTTTTGTGTGAATGGGACAGTCGGGCAAAGGCACTTCATTACACCAGACAAAACTGGACTGTTCGTCAATTCCTAGAGCCAGGTCAAAAAAATGTACAGCATATGCCATTAGTAGATTCGAAAAAAATGTTATTACCACCACTGCATATCAAGTTAGGCCTAATGAAAAACTTTGTCAAGGCTTTAGATAGAGATGGGTCAGCTTTTCAATACCTGCGTCAGAAATTTCCAAGACTAAGTGAGGCAAATGTTAAAGAAGGTATTTTTGTTGGGCCACAGATTCGAAATATTTTGAAAGATACACAGTTTGAAAACACTTTAACAGGTATTGAAAAAACTGCTTGGAATGATTTCCGTCTGGTGGTCACTAATTTCTTGGGAAATAGAAAAGCTGACAACTATAAAACCCTTATAAAAAATATGCTGTCATCGTATCAAAAGATGGGCTGTAATATGTCTCTTAAGATACATTTCCTACACTCACACCTGGACTTTTTTCCTGACAATTGCGAAGCCGTAAGTGATGAGCACGGCGAACGTTTTCATCAGGATATTTCAACAATGCAAAAAAGGTACCAGGGAAAGTGGAATCCTTCCATACTTGCAGACTACTGTTGGACTCTTGGTAGAGATGCTCCAGAAACGATCCATAAAAGAACAGCAAAAAGACAGCGCATATAGTGATTCTTAGAAGTATATGAATCTTGTTACTTTTTTTAATATATCCTTAAAAATAAAAAGTTTTTTTTCTAAACCGCAACTAATTTTTTTATTTCATTGTCATTTTTGGATTCAGCGCCCCAAAATTAACAAAGAAGTGCACTTTTCCCACAAGATACAATTAAAAAACTAAAATTTGTTGTCCAGTGAATCTTTCAATAATCAATTCGACCATATTCGCACCTAAATAGTCACCAGCCAATTTCCAATCAATGGATGGAATTGTGTACATCAACAGATAAAGGCCGTCCTAATGAGGAGTATCTGGTGATATCGGCAATCCTCTTTCAGCCGTTCTATTCAAATTGATTTCAAAACGTTTATTATGCACCACTCTCTCATCGGCGAGAGAAATTATACTCATGAAAAGGACTATGAGAAGCTCCCTTATTTTCGACTCAAGTTAATTTGGTGAATGGAAAGGGTGTGCGCGATCGCTGGGGATCATTTCAGCCAGCGTATATAATCTACTGGTATTGAAGTTAAGGTATAGTCCAGGACTATTAGACGAAAACAAGGCTAATCTACTGAAAAAATCCCACCTCGCTGAATTCTTTACCAGAGTTTTTTCTCAATATTATAGATCATTTCTCAAAAGTCCCCATGAATCCAAGTGGAGCTTTTTTATGGGGGGTCAAAGGTCACAAAAAACACTATTTTCCATATATCTTCGAGAATATCAACTCTACGATAAAAGGAGCTATTACCTTTTTGTTCAGTATAAAATTCTCCACAAAAAAGGTTGGATGCATTTTTTTCGTAGAGACCGCCAATTTACAGAAAATTGCGTGAACGTGTTGTAATTGACAAAAATCAAAAATTTCACGTCAAATCGTATTTTGACATCGTTTCCTTTTTGAATGTTTGTGGTAGGGGCTCTATAAGTGTCCCCTCTTGTGACCTAGAGGACAGCTGGCCCTTTTTTTCTGTGTTAGAAGGTACGTCACTGTATACCTGACTGTGGGACATTGTCTTCAGAACAGTATTCTGCCATTCTCAGTTGTAACGTATACAGACGCGTCGGATAATTTCAGACAGTTTTTACGTGATATTATTCACACATAAATTGAAAAATGGCCCAAAATTGCATTTGCAACAAATCGCTGTCAGACGGAGCGCGGTATTAAAACCTTACGTGACGCTAGTATCGAGCGAAATGATGGGAAAATTACATTTATGCGGACTGTTGAATCGATCAGAGTGCACGTGGTGTGTCGCAAAGAATATACTCGTGCAAGTAGCATTGCTGCTGCTAAAAGGGAGCGAGATACTGAACCCAGGACCTCGACCGCTAGCCTTCCCCGCTGCTTGCTACGTCTCTTTTGCGCGATCTTTAACTGCCCAAAAGCTTGGGAGACCTCAAGATATCAACATCTCTTTGGCAATGGAGAAGATGTATAATTACCTGCATTGAAAATAATAATGACTGTCAGTTCACTTTATCGGAACTTAAAAAGGTATGTACTGATTTTGTACCTGATGATGTTACTGTAAAAACAAAGCTTGTTGAAAAGTAGGTAAAAAAATCGGCATTACAACAAAGAGTCGAAGTTCAACGATTATTTGTTTCACCGATGTTCGTCATGATATCTTGAAAAAAAAACCTGGTATGGCACTCGTATATCTGATGAGAAGGAGGAACGTTTTAGAATTTTAGAGGCCGCTGCTCCAACCAACATCGAGTGCAGCTCAAGCACATTTATGTCGTTTGTATTATCAAGTCCAGAAGTGGCTTGGAAAGAATTTGGATTGGGGATGGACGATGACCGACGAAGGTTTACAGCCAATACAAACTCTATTGCCACCTGCCATTGATGTCTTCTTAAACACAATCTTTTGTAATTGTACGAAAGGTTGTGGAGCTAATTGTGGATGTAGGAAACTTGGCCTTCGCTGTTCCGCCATTTGCAGCTACTGTCACGGACATGATCTCGAACAATGAAGAGTGTGGAATTCGATGAGAATATAGACCCCATGAATTTCCTATGCTCAACACTTGAGGTTGGCGAAGACTTCGATAATGCCGCATCTTGTCACATTGATGACTAAGGAAAAAAGTAACAAAAACATAATTTTTTCATTATATCTTAGTGAATTAGGCCTATTGGCGAGACCACATGAAAAAAAAACGCGTCTGGTACTTTACCTCTATGGTGACGTGGAAAAAAGTACGTTCTTTTACAATTTTCTCAATGTTCAGCATTGAAATTAAAATTTCTTTGAAAAAACGTTCTCTACGA